CCCCCTCCCCCCCCCCTCCCCTTCTCTCCTTATATGACGTCTCCTACCGTCTGTCCTTTTTTGAGGACATGGAACTGATGTCATCAGATACTGGAGCGGACACACACACACACACACACACATATATATATATGTGTGTGTGTGTAAATATATATAAATATGAACTTTGTTGTCTCTGAGACCCCGGGGGCGTCTGTTTTTATATTGTTAAATATTAAAAGTCTCGTTCCTGTGACATCAGCAGATGAAGAAAATCTTTCAGGAAGTGAAAGTGATTTTGGGGAGGAGTCTGTGACAATGGTCGTACTGACAAAAGGGGGCGCTGCAGCACATTTTGGATTGGAACATTTTGAAGCCATTGCTCAGATCTTTGATTGAACTCATGTTTCCAGAAACTCCACGTGGTGTTTTATATATCAGTGAATGTTTTCACTGATCTGCTGCGGCTGAACTCTGTGTCACTGCTGCGGCGGCGGCGGCGGTGGAGGTGGAGGACGTCAGCTCTGAAGGACAGAAAGTTCAGGAAAAAAAGGTGAAAATAAAGGGTGAGAAAAAAACCTCCATCAGGACGGGGGAGACGGGGGAGACGGGGACGGGTCGATCAGAACCAAGACAACAAGTCTGCCTTCAGAGAGCTGTCTCCAGGATCAGGCTCAGGATTTTCCATCCTCACTGCCAGTTAGAGAGAGAGAGAGAGAGAGAGAGGAGGGGGGAGTCGAGAGAAAAACATCTGCAGCTCCTAACTCACCCACTGGCCTCAGGTGAATTTCCTCTCTCTGGAGTCACTCAGAGAGAGAGAGGGAGAGAGAGAGAGAGAGTTGTTTCGTTTGGGGTGAAGAACAGTTAAGATGTGACCATAAATAAACCACAGTCACAGTCACTAACCTTTTTAAACATGCATGCTCACACACACACACACACCATCACACGCTCACACTCACAGCAGTCTGTCAGATTCTTTGACTCCAGTGAACCTGTGTACTCTCTGATGGTTTGTGTATTTTCAGATACTCCTTTGTGTACTTGTGTGTACTTAATCCGTACATCGAAGTTTC